GCATATGTTTGCAAAAAACGAAGGGAAAACTTAGAGCTAAGTGCCTCGGACATTAATTTTTAGGGTCAGCCCCGAAACTGTAGTTAACTTTTCAGTCGAAGACAATCAACTCCTACAGAATATACCGTACTCCCGAAATAGGTACTAGCCAAAAGCCCAGACAATTGTTTTATCCATGTTTCTGCTACAGCTTGGCAGAACTGCGAGGCGTTCCGTGTTACGGAGGGTCTTCTAACAACTTCTATGCGGTTTCTGGTAGGTACACCAGTTTTGAAATTATTCGTTTTCACCATTGTTTAGAATTGCGGCGCCCGGAAGTGAAATGTAATTGACAGTTCCATGTTATTTTACTGGATATATTTTCTGACAATGGATCGCGTGATTGCTCAGAAGGGCTAAAATTCTACTTTTTAGTCTTAACTAGGAAGAAGTATACTCGACCTCTGGAACATGAGTTTTACTAGTATGGCGTGGAATTATCCGGTCCGTAAAGTTCTAGCTCCAACAACCGGACATGCTTTATCTTATTTTCGACTATTAAATAAATGTGTATCGCCTAATAATATAACTACTACGCCCTCAAAATGCCTACAGTCTGAATTCGGAAGAGTCCAATTGTCTTCGTAAAACGTAGGCTCAAACAGAAGACATAGGGCATGTTCAAATGTACATAAACTTTGCGACAAAAGGTTTTGAGCCTTCTTTCTAGGTTTCAATCTCGTAGACCGAATGTCCCTGCCTTCAAATTCGCTAGCCAACATGACTACTATTATTTTATTATAGATGGTCGCTTATAATCTTATCGAGCCCGTCTTCATAACGGTTGGATGCAAATCTAGTCTCCTTTGCGGTCAAGAAAAACCCGGAAATCTCTCCTTCGTAAAGCAAAGGCGAATCTACCCTTTGCTCGTAACATATCTCTAGTGCACATCGACACAAAGAATATCCAATTTAAACCACCGAAAGCTCCACTTCACCCTACACTGTGGTTTCTAAACATTTTAGGGTTCTGAAAAAAACTTGTTGTAAGGAAAACGCTGGCTTCCATGTGTTAAATGTCTCCACTTAGCCGAATGCATTACAAACTATGAGAGTTATGAGAACAAAACGAACCTCAGCGTTGTCATAGTGGTAGGAGAGGCCCGAGTCGATGCTAGTTTCCAAATCTGTCGCAGGGCGACCCTCGTACTCCACTGTAAAAGCTCTGTAGGAGTCAATTTTTCCGCCAATATCGGGAAATATTAGTCGGAGGAGGCTGCGTAGTGAGACTGGTTCGCTTGAACTTAGAAGACCTTCGTCTATCAAATCAACGTCCGCGCTACCTGGGTCACAGGGTGTCTCGGGATGAGCTCTGGCCATATGACCAGGCAGCTCGCAAAGCAAAATGCCTTGACGATTCATTGTGTTCGGACGACCGACCGGAAGACCCGAGGCCAGAAAGGCATCTAATTCGGCGTTTATTCTGCGTAGGCATGCTGTAGTCAGAAGCGGTAGTGTATAGACTTCTTGCAATTCTGAAAGGAGTAGATGAAAGGTCCGTTAGTTTCATTTCGAAAAAACTGCTACTGTAATTGAAATAAGTGGGGTTTGAATTTTAAAATGAAAGGCAGACGATGCAGCCGGACTCGGTAGGCAGACTTCCAACACAGCTAGACACCTTTACTGGGATAAGAATTGATAAGCCCCCAGATGACAAGTCTGGTAAATGAATCCTGCTCCCCCCAGTAGTGGCGTGAAAAGGGGCAAACCACTGAGGAGCATACAGGGTAGGGTAGTAAATAGGATTTTGTCGTGCGTATCCATCGAGATGAGACAACCCAGACAAAAAAGTAAGTGTATTAACTGAATATTTTGGCCCTGATTAAGGAAAAAGTCCTGTGTAAAAATGAAGACAAACGGCGCTACCTTTTGCTGCTAACTACTGCATTATTTTGGCCTAATAAATGGAGAATGAAGCTTGCTGCGAGGGGGAAAAGAGATTGAAGTTCAACCCGCAGCTTTTCTGTCATCAACTACGTAACGGTAATGTCTTCAGGCGTGCTGCAGTGCGACTTGGCAGAGTGGTTACCTATAGAAATTTCCTCAGTCTTAGTCGTATTACGGTCTCATAAATATCGCATGCCATCCAATAAGGCTTCACCCGCCGCTTAATAAACTCATGGAACCTTAAATAGGTGTCTCCAAAGATGGATAGAATCATCCAGCTTAGAAGTCAGGAGGCTGCGTGAAATTACTCACACAAAAAGCCAGCTCAGGAAGCCGTTATCCGGCGAGCCACGGCTAAACCGGGGATTATCATCTGCGAGCTCAGGCTGGGCTTGACCATGGTCATTAGCGCATAACAGAACGATTTCTGAAGTTGATCCGACAAAGCAAAGGGAGACTGGAATGGCCATTTCTGGTTTATTAGCCGTCATGAGCCAGTCATACCCAATCTCGAGGGTTGGCACCCCCCAGATTTGAACCCGGGACCTTCGGTCATTGTGCTCAAGACACTGCCTCTAGTCTACGGGTTCCCTGCTTTGTCGGTTGTGATCGGGAATATGATGAACGATTTCTTGTCGAAAACAGCAATAACAATATACCCAACACCACGATATTAAAAACACACCTGGTACGGGTTCAACTAGGGAAACAACCTCCTCCATGTCAAAGCGTCGTTGTTTAACTTTTCGAAGTAAATCTGCGATCGGTGGCTGATAGTCATCTGCCTACGAATCTAAAATATTACAAAATATTCTCACCGAGAGGACAAACGACGTTTTGCTTAGGGGAGTGTAGTGTTTGACAAGGTTGACTTTGCGCTCTAGACTTCTAGTTGATTCCAACTGACGATCCGAGGAATCGCGACGCATCTCAGTTAAAATTTCTTCTATCTGTTCATCAGTGACTTTCAATTCGTGCAGAAACTGCGAACTTAGTGACATGCAAATCATCTTACACTTTTATATGTTGTCAGAAAGGCCTCGTCACCGAAGTACTCGAACGTCATCGATAACGAGCGGACAAATATGTTCCGGCTGTAGAAACAGGTGCATTGGGCCCAAGTCATCCTCAACAGTCACCCTTGGCGCTGTAACGTAGATCGACCGATAACTGGCACTGTAGGTAACTTCGCTTTTCAAAGATAAGAAAGTTACAGAAGAGTCAACCTCGCCTGTATGAACGAAAAAAGGTAGTAAATCGAAGTTGAGTGAAGCACAGCACCAAAAATACGGTTTGAGATCAGGAAAACAGGTAAGTTCCTTCCGTACCGGAGAAATTGCAGAGGGAGGTTACCACCGCAAACAAACAGTGTGAGACTGTTGGGGACCCAGCTGTACTCAAATTCTTCAAGAAACCTAATGAAATGCCCAGTTCAAGCGTTAAGACTCATACTACGGCGCTCCTAGAACCAATTTGCTCGGCAATTCTGGGCGAGTGATGCGGAAAAATAATGTATCAGCTGGATTACTCGATCGGGAACGGGCCCCTGGTAGTGGATGCTGGAATGCGAGAACGTTATCGCATCCTAGTACTCAAGGTCTGACGGTGCGCACTATTCACCAATACAACGTGCGTCTGCTGCCTGTCCAAAGGTGCTCGAG